TATTCCAGAAGGCAAGTATGCACTTGGCATTTATTTACTATTCTCTGGTAACATAAACTCTACTTAAATAGATGCAAACCCACACTTAGAGGAAATGATCTTTTTTGATTTTTTTCTTTTAAAACAGTGTCTCACCACTCCATTGCCCAGGCTAGAGTGCAGTGGCATCATCATAGCTCACTGCAACCTCAATCAGATGCCTGGACTCAAGGGATCCTCCTGCCTCAGCCTCCTGAGTAGCTGGAACTACAGATGGGCACCACCACACCTGGCTGATTTTTCTTGTTTTGTAGAAATATGTTCTCACTGTGTTGCTCAGGCTGGTCTCAAACTCCTGGGCTTAGCAATCCTCTCATCTTGGCCTCCCAGAGTTCTGGGATTACAGGCATGAGCCACTATGCCTGGACAAAATGATCTTTTTTTAAGAGTGTGAGGCACTTAACTAAATAAACCAAGATTCTATGGCTCACTACAAGTGTGACCATTAGGAATTCTTCTCTTATTCTTTACTAATTCTCTCTTTTGCTTTGTCTTTCCATTTTAAATGGGCTTTCTGAGACATTTTGCAGATAAAATGAAATGCTGCTCAACTTAGTCCCACCAGCACAAGCTGCAAAGGGAAATGGTTTGGGGGCGGGGCATGAAAAACAGGTGTGTGCTGCAGTGGTAGGGGGCCAGCTCAAAGAGTTAGAACCGAGAAAGTCAGCCTTAGCATGCTGGACAGGGACCAAGCAAGAGCCCACTGGCTGGGAAGACGCAAGAGCCCACTGGCTGGGAAGACTCAAGACCCTAGAGGATGGAGTGGAAGTCAGGCAAAGCAACAGCCTAACAGGCCTTGCTGGCCAAAGATCCATGTGTTTTGATCCAAGACTGTATTGCAGGAGGGCTGATGTCAATTGTGAAGTCTGGAAGCTCTGTGTGGGAAGTGGAGGGCTCAGCCAGATAGCCAGGCCACACCTGAATAGTGTATTTACACCCGTGCTCACACTGTTGAGCATTTAATTTGGGTCAAAGACTGTGCTAACTGCTTTCTGTGTGGTGGTCCTAATGGGAACTGGTCTTGAATGTTCTCTTTTTTCTCCTCCTTCTGGGTCTTGGTTGGATGGTCCTTCCCCACCTACTTTGAAGTGAGTCAGGGTCAGGAATCTTTCTTTAACCAATAAGCCTGAGTCATGTGGATGTATCATTTCTGGGTAGAAGCACTGAGAGGCATTACGTGATTCTCCAATTTCCCTTTAGCAGCCCTGGAGATCATGACAGCAAGCATCCAGACAGAGGTGCCATCAAGCAGGGCAGCTGAGAGGAGAAGAGCCCCGGCCAACCCACAGAGAGAAGCGTGAGGGAAAGATGCATTTTTTGGCGTGGAGCCCCAAACAGACTGTCCCTGCCACATACACATGGATGGTCCTGTTTTGTCTGGCAGACCTGCAGCTTCCAAAAGGAGGAACCTGCATGTGCCCCTTGGTGACGGGGGGCCCTTTGCCTAAGGTCACAGAGCTAATCAGAAGTAGAGCCAAAGTCTAAACCCTGGTCTGCCTAGCCAGAGCCCCTACTGTAACCACACTTTGTCAAGAGCCAATTTAATAGGGCAGGAGGGAAAACAAAGCATCCTCATCTCCATAAATAGCTCCAGGAAACTTCTGCACGACACACTGGCATAAAACCAGGCAACTGTGCAGAGCAGCTTCTGTATTTCTCCCTCTGTAAAAATGAAAAAGTTCGAAAAGGTCACATAGCACCAAAGGACATCAGCCTACTAACACGCCCTATAAAATAGTTACCTGCAAAGTGATCTTGAGGGCGGCAAGAGCAGGGGTGAATTAGCAAGGTAGGGGAGTGGCTCCTTATTCCTCCTGCCAATTTGGTTCCATAATAATCCTTCACCCTCACATTACCTAAGTTAAATAAGATCCTGCAGAGAATAACACCCCCAGTGTTTCCCAAGCCTAATGCCTTTCAAAAGCCCTAAGGCATTATGAGGCCGAATAGGAAGCATAAGATTCTAAGAGCAAACAGCATTATTTGTGGCTAACAAGACAAGATTCCATGTGTGGCCAGCTATTACATTTTTTTTTTCCAAGTAAGAGTTCAAAGTCCAGAATTCATAGTATGAAACACAAAACTTCCTTTGTAGCTTCTAATCATGATTTCCACATGGAATAATTCCCTACATCTATCTATTCCTTATTAGGTGTTCATCTTAAGTACCAACCGACCAGTGATAGGGATGAAATCTGAAGACTGACTGAACGTATTCCAGTCTTCACTCAATTCATGTCATTTTTTTCTCTTGTCCAACCTTGGGATGAGTACAGTAGCATTTAAAGTAGGAAAAGAGAGATAAATTATTCTCCCTTTCAGCAAAGTGGGTGGAAATGTATTCTTTATCTGTCCATTTTACAATGCGCTATTGACTTTCAGATTAATTTATCCCTCTGAAGTCTGGCTAGAGTCCACACACTGCCACATTCCATTTCAGGGAATTCCGTTATCGTGTGATGACTGAACACATGTGTCATCTGAAATCATAACTTATTTATTACCTTAATACTTAGATTGGCTTTTAAAGCACCAGCAAAATAACTGAGTAGGCTGTTTTCAGGCATACGATCTCCATCATAATGATTAATTCATTTTTTCAACATAATAAAAACAGTAGCCATCCATTTTGATGAGATAGATCAGAAGGGTATTTTTAAACTACCACACATCACCTTTGAATTTTACATGGCACACTCATCCTGGTACCTACAACACTTGAACTAGAAAGTACCACATGCATTCAGAACATTGTCTATAATGACATCACCATGACATCTTCGTGCCCTCCATAGCAATGACACACCATGTTACATTTGTTATAGGTTTCTCAAATCTCAAATACAAATTAGAAACTAACATCCGAATAACTTCCAACACCATAGTGTATGCACCATGTCCTGCATCGTAACACCCAGTGCTTGAATTCACGTAAAATTTACATGTTTGTACTAATTTGATTTTGCATAGCACTTTCATAAATGCTAACTCCTTAGAAATGTTTGTGAATGTTTTGAAGGAGCAGGAGAACAGCACCAAAACAATTCACCGGCTGCAAAGTCCCTTTTCCAAATGAAAGAAGGTATAGAGAAAAACACCACAACAGAAGATACTTGTCCTATGAGATGTAGTTGAGAGCCAAGCAAGTGTTACGCTGACTTAAATAACAAATGAGGTGATTGATTTTTTATTTTTTTTACATGAATGCGATGCTCTCTTTTGGTCTGTCTGAGTGATGCTCACTCAGATGATGCATCTGAGATGCTCACTTGCTTTCAAACAACCAGATCTTGCTTTCCTGGCTCTCCAGTCCCCAGGAGAGTCTGAGCATCCTAGGTGAAGCTGCCAGAACCCAGATGGCGTGACTTCATACTTTCAATAAGAACCCCAAAGTGAGGAAGCAGTTAAGGATAACGCGTGCAGCGTTTGTGACTCAGGAAGACATCGTCATAGAAGGCTGCACTATTGATTTTCAGTGAGAGAATAATGGAAATAGATCGGCTAAAAGCACAAGCTACAAATGAACACACAGTCAGAGGGAAAGTCAAATGGAGATAGGTTCTGTCATTACTCTAAAGCTGGACCCGTTTCTCCAGTACCAGAATCAACAACGCAAGAGCCCAACAACACAAAGATGCTGTTTGCTTCCTTTAAACACCCAGCCCCTTCACTAATTCCAGACTATGGGCTTGCCCAGTGCTCCTTTCAAACAACTTCGCCTCCTAGAAATCGCCTTCATTTGTTTCCACCGTCTTCGGGACCCAAGCAGTAGCAAATGGCTCTGGACACACGAGGAGACAGAGCCTTTCACTCAACACAAATCTTTACATCAGACTTTCAGTGACTACGCCAGACCCTCAGATAAAAGCCACAGATCTTCTCTTCAGGCTGTAATAGAGAAATACCCCTTCCTTGCACGCGTCCTCCTGGGAAGCCTATTGGTGCTGCAAAGCCCAGGAGTACTGCTTAGGGATTCAGGGCACACAGCGGTTGGAGATGTGTGCGTTCCAGAAGTCCTCGGTCTTATCTTTTCTTTCTTTATCATTATTGGTACCCTGACCCAAATACAAGGAAACCTCCACATTTCAATAACAGACTCAATTTGGATTCTGCAGCTCCACAGGAAGAAACAGCGTCTTCTTAGCTAGCTGCGCTGCACTCTAGAGATAATTCTCCTAGTTTAATTTTAACATTTGGTTACAAAGACGCTAATGGTTCAGATTTAAAACTGTAGATCCTTTTTAGAAGTACCTTCCCCTTTCAGAATGGCAAGCCTCAGTGGTTCAACCCAGAACCAACAATGTTTTGCCCACACTCATCCGAAGCGCAGGTCCCGCTCGCCTGGCCAACCTCCACCCTCTAGAGAGGCAGGTTTCTGGAGAGCCCGGAGATCCGCTCGTTCTTTGAGCTTCTCTCCTTGCACCGCGCAAATCTCTCCCTAATTGGGCTCAAGTAGAGGGGATCGCCAAGTGTTCATCCCAGCGGAATGACGCTCTGCAGAAAACTAATGGTTTGTGCACTGGCCCAGGCCGGTCTCAAGCGGCTCCAACTTTACGGATCTGTTAATTTTGGGGTTTTGGACAAACCCAGGCAGAGGTCCCACTAACGCCCACTACGGTGCCCTGCCAGGTCACTCTGAGCCACGCTCGTGGCACTTGCACTTCTAGCTCGCCCTGCACGAGCACCCCAAGAACACGATGCAAATGAACCCTATGGGGTGACACCAGGGACAGATCCCCGTGAGTAGAGGCCAGGAGGTGCCTGAAAAAGAACCTCCGCTCCCCTCCCCGCAGCCCGGCAGTTAAAGCGAGAAAATGCAAGAGGATGAAGCTGAAGACACTGATGCCCGCCCGGCCCCCGCACCCCGCACCCACACCCGGAGCGCTGTCCTGCCGCCCACGGGGAGGGGTGCGCGGCAGGTGCCCGGCCGAGGCCCCGGAGAGCGAGCGAGCCGCCCTTACGTGCTCCAGCTTGTCTTTCCTCCGGAGCCAGACGCTGGCGCTGTAGTCCTGCTGCTTGACGCTGCTGTAGAAGTTCGCGCCCACTCGGGTCAGGCTGGGCGAGGGCTCCTTCGGGCGGCTCTTGAGCCTCATCTGCTCGAAGCCCTCGTGGGGGGAGGCTGAGAGCCACTCGTGCTGCCGGATCTCCATCCTGACATGACCAGGCGGCGGCCGGCACGCAGCGGACTCGGGGTGGGCGTGCGGGAGGCCGGGCGGGAGCTGGAGAAGGAGCCGGAGGAGCCCGCGGGCGCGGGGAGCGCGGGGTGCCAGGCGGGAGGGGCGAGCGCGGGAGGAGAGCGACGGAAGGAGAGAAGGCGGCGTCGGGGCAAGGGCAGGTGGCAAGGTGGGGAGTGGAGAAGGATCAACAGAAGATACTTGTCCTATGAGATGTAGTTG